GTCGTAGGTAGCCTTTTTTTGTAGCCTCACAATGCCTTCTTCTCAGGTCAACCTAATATTATACCTCTGACTTTCGTTATTTTATTTTATAAAGTTTTTAATTTATTTCTATAACAGCATTACTACTGTAATTTTATCTATACAATAATGAACAAGCAGTGAATGCCTTTAACTTGTTCTGTAATTTTTGTATTATTAAAATATATATTTATTAATTTTATACTGATATATGAACATATAATAATTAAACCTGTTATATAACTTTATTATAAAGCTCCCTCTCACTGACGCAAATGCGAACTTAGTCACAATCGAGAGTAACACACTGTCATTTTCTTATCAGAGCACTAGGTTGAGAGTTGAGGTTGGTTAGGGGAGTAAAGACACAACTAACTAATGATAACAAGTGGGTATGAAGGTCATGGTGGAGTGGCATTTATTTATATTGGGCTAAATTTAAGTAGTCAATGCCGAAATCGTATCTAATGATTTAAAACTTCTGAACCATCCGAACCATCTCGTTTCCAACCTTCCTTCCTCTTCTATTCCTGATAACCCTCCGAGGCGTCTGAAAAGAAGATGGCCTCGGGACCTTCTAATATAGAAATATAATTGGAGTGCTACCAATGGGTAGTTTTTCTTAATGTTGAACATGTCATATTACTTGTTCATATTTACTTGTTGTATTTATTATTAATTACAGTTGTAAATTTCGTTAATAAAAAAAAATGATTTAAATAGAAACTTACAGAGTTACAGAGACATTGTCTCTGGGTTGGGTTCAATATTTATAACTGTACCCCGGAGATAAAGAAGTCTATGTCCATTTTTATATTTTATTAAAGGACTCATTGTACCATAACTTTGAACTATTATAATTTGCTTCTTAGTTACTAAATCTGTTGTCCGGATGTAAAGTGAATCTTATCATATTTTTGTGTTTGTTGGATCCAATTATCCATAACTTTGAGCTATTAAAATTTGTTCTTTAATTACTATTTTTTTTTTAATGATAATGGTTTCCTTTACATCAGGAGCTATATGAATATATATATATATATATATATATATATATATATATATATATATATATATATATATATATATATATATATATATATATATATATGGGATATATGAATTTAGTTTATTTGAGAAAAGTGCGTATTAGTGGCCTCAATTTTATTTTCTCAACCTTCATTTCGATAATTTAAATTCGGTAACAATTAATGGGAAAGCTAATATTTTCTCATATAAGCATTACAGAAATAATGAAATCACTTTCCATCTGTTGTTTCAAAATAAAATTAGAGAATAAATTCGAACTCAGTGATGCAGACGCGGTTTTTATATATGTATATCTCTTCAATAAAATATATTTTCAATGTAAGAACTCCAAGTCCGTTTGATGGTTTCTTGAATTAAAAATTATTGGAAATAATAATGAGTATTAATAATGTAGTCCAATTAAGAGTATGATTTGCGAAATGAATTTAGACAACCCCACTCTGGTTACAGGTTCCCTCTAGTATGTTCCACTTGGCCGGATTTGGTTCCATATGTATCAGGTATCAGTTATTTAACAGTCGAAGTTAACAGTTACTTATTTTAATGTGTTTTGGTTTCAATTCTAATTTTTATTTCGAATTTAGAAAGAATTGAACCTGTTATAATCCTATTATTTTTATCAAAAATTAATAACAATTAACAACTTATAAAAAAAGTAACTAAGTTACCAAAACTTGTTAATAAGTTAACTGTTCCATATGAGACCTCGTAGGGAAGTTTGAATGTAAAGCTTATCATCTCTCATAAGTTCTATCAGTAATTTTCACTTGCCGGATTAGTTTCCCCACATATTTCGAGTTAGGTACCAGTAATTTAGCAGCCGAAGATTACCGTTACTTTAAGTTCTTTAATACTTTTGTATTTAAACTATAATATTTAGTTCGAATTCGGAAAGAGCTGGTGAGCTGGTGAAACTACAAAATACTGAACCCAAGACGGTTTATAGGTTGTAGTGGTACAGATTTTTTTTTCAAAATGAATTAGAAGTTAACAACTTCTAAAAATAAAAACTAGTTAATAAATTAACTGTTCCGAAGGAGAGCACGTGGCAATGTTTGATGTAAAGCTTTAGCATCTCTCGTAAGTTGTTTTTTCTCCTCATTTAAACCAGTTATTTTGATTTATTGCATTTGAATGGTTTCCAAACGCGTGAATGTCTCGAATCAAATGAGTGAAAATAGTTTACATTTCGAAAAATTCTTATTCTGTTGGATGTCTTCCAAATCGGTCATGGAAGGAAAAAAAAAAGTATTATCAACTTAACTTTGAATAAAGATTAGAAAACTTTCGCGAAACACTAAGAATTCCTGAAAAAGCATCACTTGAATTAAGCAGAAACTGCTTGTTTTGGAAAATAACTATGTGCATTAATAGTAGCTATGTGTATGCTTATGATGCTCTTTCTGTAGCAGTTAATATCTCTATCAATTTTACCAATTCCTGACTTATAGTACGTACAGGGTTACCAATACTAGTTACAATTACATTATCATCGAATGGTATCAGTTTACTGTGTTCATACCACGTCAAGAAGAAGAATATTAATGACCTTACTAATTACTAAGTCTGCATTTTAATATTAATTAAGAATGTAAGCTACTATTTAATTATTTTTATTTATGATTAAAAAATAATTAATAAATAAAATAACTTCCGAGGAGTCTGAAAAGAAAATGGCCTCGTGATTTCCTTAAATAAACATATTATTAGAGTACAATCATTGGATAATTTCTCAACAAGCGTTTTCATGTGATTATATTCCTTTGTACGTACTTATTAGATGCATTTTTATTGTAATACAGTTGTAATAAATAAATAGAAAAAATAAAACATTCATGTAGTGAAACACTTCGATCTACAATATATATATATATATATTTATCCTCATTTTTTATCACCCCTAGTTAATCTATGCTAAAGAGTTCTCAGGTATTGTGCAATAATTAAAATAATTTATTTTTTATGTGACAAGCAGCGGCTTTCCTTGTAAATTTTTTTTTATTAATTTATCTGTTGTACAATAACATCAGTTTCGATAACCAAATTTTAATATCGATATGCGATTCAAACGATGTGAGTAAAACATTAAATATATATTTATATATATAAAGTATTAAATATATATAAAAATATCAGGTGTTTAACCTCTTATGAAATTTTTATAAAAAGTTCTATTTTAACAGTTTCTATGAAAAGTTTTAGGAAAAGCATTCTTAAGATAAAAGTTCTAGGTATTTAGTAAAAGTTTAACTTGTATTTATTCAATTTAAAAAAAAAAAGTATATTAAATGGTAAATAATGGCTTACACTTAGATTAGGATTATAATTTGTCTTCAATATATTGCACACGATTCTAATGTGTCATCTGTTCGAACAGCTATGAACAAAATTATTGACTTTTTAACAAAATCGACAGAACTTTTAAATAAACGTTTTTAAAAATAAAAGTTCTGTAAAACTTAACTTGAAAAGTTGTAACGGAAAAATTTGTACTTCCAAAAGGACTGAAAAGCTATCGGAAATGAAAATTCCATTGATACAGAAACTTTTAAAAACTTTTTTTTTCCGTTTCTCCCACGACATTTACGGCATACGGATGAGTTATCCCAGGAGGTACAACTTAATTTAATCAAACCCAGAAAGGAATGCTCGAGATTCATTTGGTGGATTCGGCACAAAATAAATATCAACCTGCCCAAACAGGATTCGAATCTGAATGAAAAGTTAAGTTCCTAAAGAAGATTTTACACACACGACGATCTCGACTGCTTCGATTCAGAACCAAAAAAAACTTTACAATTGATTTCAAAATTGACTTAGTTTGAGCGAACTTTCTTTTGCAAATATATCTCTTTCCCTAAGAAAGGGTCTCAAACCGAAATTTGTAGGACTCTGTATATTTTGAATCTTTCAACCATGGCAAAGTCGTGATTAAAGTTTCACCAAAGAACAAATTTGGTTTTTTATTTCTATTCTATATTTCCAATAACATTATGAAAATATTTGAATCAGATTTTATAAACGAGCATCCTGATGGCCTCAAATTCTTGAAAACATCTTTATTTTTCTATTTTTATCATTATCAGACATTTTCCGATCAGCTATAAGAAAGTTTTAAAAAAAGTAATAATTAGAATAAGATATTTTTTACCCGTGATAAACAGAGTCGAACAATAGATCCTCTGAGCCAATAATATCTACAGAACAATAAACTGAAGAGCTTATAATAGTATAAATCACTGAACGAATGCACACAACAGATTAGTAGTAGTCCAAGATTTAGCAAGGAAGTTGGCACAAACAGCAAGATTTGTCATTGCATTGGAATCAATCCTTCTATACCTCCTTCAACCTGATATTTTGTTTGTTTACTTAGACCTTTTCTGTTACTTCAATACGTCTCTGATTATTTCAATTATCGACCGATATTAACTAATATTAGTTGCTAATAAAATTAGTTTAAAAATAAAAAAAAAACCTTGAATCTCAGCCAGAGGTTTGGAATTTAATTTCGACGCGGTCCCCTTTGTCCAATTACTTCCACTTAGCGGTCCCGAAGAAAGTTAAAGGAGCAGTTGAAGTTTGACGTCAATGAAACAGGACTTTTCTCTTTAATTGACTCTTTTAAAGTGATGATGGATGAGTTAATTTCATTAAAGAGTTCGAGAAAGAAGAAAAAAAAACTAATCAACAGTTCTGAGAGTCTCACCAGAGGGGTGAGAACTGACCCGTGAAGGAGACCAACTTTGATATTTAAGTTAAGGTTTGTTTCTGTTTTCTTCTTAAATGGAAATCAAGGTCTTCGTAATAAACCTTATGCTTAAAAGTACTGTTATACAGAAAAGGAATGAAAAAATGGAAGTTAAAATATACAATAAGAAGCTGCTAATTAACAAAATTTTTTTTTTTATTTTTAAAAGGCATAAATAAGGTCAAGTTAACCAAGTTGGGCGCCATGTAGAAGGGGAATGGTGGATTTCTGTCATGGCAATAATGTCGTGACAATGTGATGGTATGACATTGACCTGGTCTACTGCTGTCCCTAAAAGCGTTAATAAAGTCTCTCTTAATAAAATCAAGATCTCAATAAAATATAAATTTAAATAATTTCTTCATCCAATAAACACTTTTTTTTTTTTTTAGACATATAATATTCTGTCTCGTGGACAATGATTATAGTCATAAATGAACACATTCACACCATATATACAGAAAATATAAAATTAACAAAAGTAAAATAATAACTAAATAATAATAAATAAAAAAATATGTACAATAAAAATATAATAACTTAAAGATAAGTAAATTAAAAACATAAAAACACAGTCATACCTTTATACAATATATACAATCAGGCAGGGAACCCAAAGTCAGGCTTGTCCCTCCAGCTATAGAAGGAAAAGCAGCTCTAACAGATCCCTGCGCTACTCTCTCAACCAAGTCACTGGTGATGAAGCCAGTGTAGTAATATACACTTAATGAAATTAAATAATTTCAAAAATAAATATACACGATATTATTCTAGATAGTAATAGTTGTTGATGATAAATAAAAACTTAGAGATAATAATGTGATGATATGTGATATAAAGACAATAACATACATCGACATGATATGTTACAATACTTAAAGTAATAATTTACATCATGATTATAAATAAAATAATAATTACATTAGAAACATTAAATGAAGGGAAAACATGACCAAAGGTTTTAAGTAATGGACAAAGGTGGAGGCGGAATTACATATATTGAAATTTATTATTGATATTAATAATCAAATTCAACAAAATGTTCTTTAATGAATACTGTCCGTACTAATTACATAGCTAATTGATAATTGGCATATTATCCCAATCTTCCATTAAATTTCGTTTCGAGGCAAAATCGAATGAACCCATTTATTTATTTTCCATATGATTATATATGAATATTGATGAATAATTATTTTGTAGTTGTTATTATTTTACTTTTAACTAATTAATAAACAGGAGGAACAATTTTGTAATAAATATTTGTATTATATTTATTACAAAATAGGCTTCTTTAGAGAAAATAATGAGTTATAGACACCATTTTACATTTTTTTTTTTTTTTAAATTTTTAAATAATATTTGGACTAGTGAAATTGTGGCAAACTCTCTTGGCACCAGTATGATCTTCTTTCCGAGGCCATGGTTAGCCCAGAATCATATATTTTTAAAAAGGATGAATGATGGCGTCATTAAGCATGGTTAAGGTCCTTTACTTAGCGCTGCTTTGCCTTATCAAGTTTCTCAGCTTTACGTTCGCTGTATTTCTTCCTGAAAACCACAGACGTAGCTTAATATTATTTTACAGGCGCGGTTATTTTATTAATATTTTATAGGAACAGTTATTTTATTGTCTAAGTTATCACCAAACCAGATAACGAAATCTATATAAGTAAGCAGAATATTTCTCAAACAAAACCTCATGTTAATTAAAAATGGTTGAACAATAAATACGACAAAGAATACATTAGGGAGAATTGTCGCATTAGACAATTACCCTTTTCCCAATCTATCTACTCATCTATCTATCAATGCATATAATCCATCTACGCTTTCTCATACATTTTTAGTTAGCGGAAGACATAATGTATTTAATTTTAAACCGTTAACATGTTAAGAGTGTTACATGATAACCATAACATTTGAGAGGCTTTCAGCAAATATATTGATAGTAGTGTTGCCCAAATGCCAGACCGAGACGAGTCTTGGTCTTGCAAACTCAGTCTTGGTCATGGTCTAGGTCTTGCGCAAGAGTCTCGCAACAGTAATTTTATAGAAAGGAGAAAACTAACTAAGCCCGAATGAAAAATTAGTAGAGTTAAATGCAAATGTATATTCGTTATACCAACTATTGACATATAGTAACTAAGATTGTCAAGTATTTGTAAATATTTTGCCATAATTTTTATTTTAAAAAATCGATTTTTTTCCCAATCCTGGTCTTGGTCTTGCAACAGTGAGGCGGCCTTGTTCTTGGTCTTGCACTTTCCAAGACCAAGACCGATTTTGGGCAACACTAATTGAAAGTAGTACATTTTACAGCTTTAAAGCATATATTACTATATATGAGTTTCAAAACCACAGTTTTTCACATTATTGAAGTTGTTGTAGAAAGAAACGAAATCAGGATTCGTCACTTCTCTATAAAATTATTTTTTTTTGGCATCTCATTCTTCAAAATCCGATATATATGGTATAGATTATCAGATCTGATAAGCATTTCATGATTGATCTTTCAAAGACTGAAATTTATCAAATAAATAGATCAAACAAGTGGAACATTGTTAACAATATAATTAATTCTCCAACTGATTGGTGAAAAGGGTTCAAAGGGCCAAAGTTAGGCTATAGTTCAGTACTCCGAGTCTCATTCCCGATGCTGATTTCATTTGTACTTTCTTAGTTGGAAGCCCTTTGTCACCATCATATAACTAATTCATCACAGCTCTCATTTGTAATTTATTGATATAATTAACTGAACCTTCCTTGAAATCATTAATCCCCTTTTTATTTATTTATTTTCTAGCTAAAAATCAAACATGCACTACTTTTGATTTATTTATTTACATTTATTGTTGAAGTAATCACTAGCCACAATCAAGTTTAAAATATTCTCAGAGTCAAGTATTATTATGACCTTCTAAATAAAAACGATTTTTGTATTACCTATTTTTTGCCATTGTTAGTTTTAATCCTTATTTAGAATAAAATTTGTCACGGGATGGGTCAAGAGATATTTTTGCACTGAATATTTTTGATACAAAAGGTTTTTCACAAGTGAAAAACGTCGAGTGCGTATTTACATTTTAATTGAAGCAGGAAACGCGTGTAAATGTACCTTGATTTCGTGTTTGTTTTTTGCCTTACAGCTGTCTGAGTCCACTATAGTAAAAGCCTTTTCTGGAATTACATTGCAACACAGTACAAATTTTGACAGAGGAATAATAGCGATTTGAGAATTTGCAAAGGGAGACTACTGAGTCTCAGCCCGAGCAAATTACGCATGCATGTTTTTCGTCGAAACAAACAACACATCTAATGGGTGACAAGTATTTGCAGATAAAAAAGAATCACAACGGATGTTCGTAAATCTCAATGAACTGAAGATAGCCTTCTATTGAATTTGTACGGTCTACGTTAATATAAATAAATACATTTAAAAAATAGCGAATGTGGGTATTCTTTACCGCAACTCCATATTCCCACAAATTATGATGCAACAGGGTTTCTAATAAGAGGGAAACCCCGGCAATAATACAAATTTCATCTGAAGAACTCGGCTGACAATAATTGCTGTAAAATATGTTGAGATAAAGTTTTCCATTAATCAGGCAAAGAACCACAGGTGGATCTACAGGGGGAAGGAGATGAGCTTCCGGGCTGAAGGCCTTCTCCAAAATGGTAAAAAGTAACCATGTCTTATAAAAAAATGATTAAAAATTATATCTTACAGATTTTTAGTGTAATTACATTTAATAGGAGTTCAAGAACTAACACTATTTCATATAGGTAGACAGTTTTTTTCGTTTTCTTCCAAATTTATATATATATATATATATATATATATATATATTATAATATATTTATATATATATATATATATATATATATATATATACATATACACATATATATATATATATACATATACACATATATATATATATATATATATACATATATACATACATATATATATATATATATATATATATACATATATGTGTGTGTAAGCTTTCGGACTGAAGCCTTCCTCCCAAAATTAAATCCTGGATCCACTGGTGCAAAGAACAATATTTATTGCAAATTTCGGTACCGTACAAACGACAATTATCTGCAACCCCATCTCCAAAACAGTTGAAACCTAACTGACCTCTGGGTAACCAAATTACGCTTATGGCATTCCAGAGCATGCGAAAATGTCCTTAAGGAGAACCTAGAACTTCGTGAATATCGTATATTTAGACTGGACTTCCATAACCAAGATAGTACAAATTCCAACTGAAGGCGTAGAATAAAAAAAAATTCTCCACCATTACTATTTTCACAGAATCAGTTACATTAGTAAAAGGTTTCTTACTTGGGCCCCCTTAATTAGTGCATTATTCTGTTGAATCGGCATGAAACGTGTAAACCAAAGTGGACCTAAGTAAAAAAGATAGAAAATGACATAAAATATTTTCAGGTCATACTTATCAAGTGCTTACATATTTAAAAAAAAGAAGTATTTTTTAATGATTTAAATGTCCTCTCAGGGCACCCTCTTGGTAAGAGGGCCCCACTTCAGGCTCTAGTTGAGGGCCCCCAACCAAGCCAGGTCAGACTGGACCTGTTCACAATTATCAAAAATCAAACCAATTATTAAAACATTTACATGGCCTTTATTTCCACGACCAATTCCCCATTAACTAAATTCAAATTCTAACGACAATACAAAAATGTAAATTACGAACCAGTTTTCAATGACAATTTACCCATTTTACTAATCAAAATATACAAAAATTTATATAATTTGTATGTATTGCTTGACCTTTGGTCCTTTTATAGTGGTTCATATGCCTATTGGTCAAAAATAAATGAATCAAAAATTAGTATTTGATTGCAAAATTTATTTGAACGTTTCGAGGAAACTTTGTCCTTCTCCTCAGCAATCTAAAATGTTATAATAAAGAAATATTTTAGATGAAGAGAGTTTCCTCGGAACGTTTAAATAAATTTTGCAATCAAATACTTATTTTTGATTAATTTATTTATGACCAACAGGTAAATGAACAACTATAAAAATATATTAAATATTTATTTCCATTAATCAACTATCGAAAATAATTCTTTCTTCAGGATATTTACCAACATTTTTAGAACTTAATGTATGTTTTCACCTCTGCCATCATTCTGCATCAGCCTTATTATATCGAAGGCTTTACGCCGGGCGCTGAAATCTGGTGGTTCAATCGATTAACTTTGTTCACGTATAATCCAACTTGATTGAATTTTGTCACACCATGAACATTCTACGATAAATGATATAGATTTAAGGTTCTTATATCTTCTAAGTCTATATACAATATCACACTTCGTAACGCGTCTAGAGTTTGAACTTAAGTCCTTATTAAGGTTGTAACCGAACCTCGTGGTATCATTATCTATTAAATAAAATTGAAACTAACAAAGAAAAACTATAGCAATTATAGCTAATCATCAAATAAAAATAATCATTTAAAAATACAATTTTAATTTAGTTATCTTCTTAATTTTTTTTTTTTTTTAGGAAGCCTACGTTTATACATTTTCTCAAGGTTAAGATTCACCAATAAATAATATCGGACGATGTAAAAAGCTTAAACAACAATTTATTACACAGTTTTAAGGAGACAGACACAACAAATGACAACAACCAAAACAATAATCCACAAATAAACAAAATATACAATAAAAGAATTTTTAACAAAATGACATACATACCACAGCTTACAAAACAAATAAAAAAAGTATTCCTAAACTATGACCTGCCGGAAATTCAGTTTGGCATATACAACGACAAAAAATTAGGTAAATACCTGACAAACACAAAAGACAAAAAAGAAGCACTGGACAAGAAAATGTTAATAAGTTAGACTGCCAACATTGTCAACTAATATATATAGACAAAACATCAAAAAAATTAAAAACCAGAATATCACAACATACATCGAACTGCAAAAATAGTAAACACATTAATATAACAGCTCTAGCAAACCATAGTATTAAATCACTGCAGTCATTTGACTTCGAAAACACACAAATATTAGTAATGGAACCAAAAACAAACAATAGGAAACTACTAGAAGCTATATTCATAACAAAAAATAATAATAGAACAGTAAACTACAAAACAGATACAAAACACTTAGGCACACATAATATCCAATATTAAAATTTAAAAAATAACAATGGACAATAAAAACACAACAAACAGCCATAATAAGGAACACTAGCGGATCCAGGATTAATTTTTTGGGGGGGGCTTCAGCCCGAAAGATTTTTTTTCATATACATATAACGATAATTCATTTGAAAAAAAAAATAAAGAAATTAATTACCTATATGAAATAGTGTTTAAGTGATTCTTGAAGTCCAATTAAATATAATTACACGAACAAGAATA